AAAATCTAACTTTTTTCATTTGTTAAGCCACATTAAAAAAATGAATAGTCAACTATAATTATAGAGTGACTTGACTAAAAGAAACTAATATTTTTAACATTAAATGGTACTAATAAAAATGCTTATACAAGTTATTATTCGAGACAAATAATTATGATGTTAAAATTTAACATCCTTATTGCAATCTCGAACGTTACACATCTTGAAAATATAATTGTTTTGTTATATTTTATATTAATATTTTTTTTTTTTTATAGCCTTTAAATATTTATAATGAGTTCTTTTTGGGCCACATAAAAATAATCGGCGGGCTGTATGCTGCCCAGGGGCCGCTGGTTGAGTATGGTTGTGTTAAATGCTAATATTTTATTCTTCTAAGATTCCAAGTAGAAAGCAATATTTTCTTCATCTGAAAAAAATAATTTAATAATTATTAACTTATATCTCCTAATTTCTATAAAATGCCTAATCTAAAACATTATTATTTTTATTTTGTACATTTTTGGGTTATATCTACAAAAGACGACTTCAAAATGAAGACGTTGACACAACTGAAAATATACAAAGTAACAATTTACTAATAGTAATAGTGTAATATCTATTATTCACAATATACAGTTTTTCAATACTAAAATATTGCACATCTAGACTCTAGTGCATATTGATATTCGAAACATACCTAACTAGTAACTGAATAATCATAAATGACATATTGATATGTAGCTTGATAAACCAATACTGACTATTGTAATCAGTGACAAATTGTACATTAAGGTTGTACAACACATCATTATCTTTCCAGTAATCTTCTTAAAAAATGTCCTGCTAAAAAATACAAATTAAAATTTTATAAAATTAAATTTTAGTATTTAATATATTGTACTTACAGCTTTCCTGCGGTTAGTCATCAACATTTATTCCAGTTAAACTATAATTAACAACTGTTAATTGGCCATATAATAATATTATATTACGTATAGTATTAAATAAATCAGTAGGTATATTGTATAACTTGGTTGTTATGTTGAGTTTTCCAAGTCTTAAATACAAATTTCACTATTACTAATGAGAACTAATTATATTTATGAAATCATTACATTCATTATAGTTTCAAAATAAATTGTAAAATGTATGTCACTAACCACAATTAGACATTTTAAAACACAATACTAGTTTCTTCTTTATATATAAAAAAAACTGTTCACAAATCACGAGTACACGTTGTTTGTCGTTTGACAATTTAAGTTTTACTCATACCATAGTATAATGATACTGTGATAATAATATTAACGCTATATTATAATCATACTGTAAAAGTGGTTTAAGGCAAAATCGTCCACATCGCAGTCTACTGATAATACATGTGAACGGATGACGGTTATGTAAGGTATATTTGTTTCCAAACAGGTAGATTAAGAATCGATTGTCCATATAATAATAAAAAAAAATTAGAGCCAGTAGTTATTTATGTCTCATTATCGGTGACAGTATTATCGATGGGGTCCAATATTATCATTATTTACTGGCAAATAAAAGTGCTACTGCTGAAAAACCGAACAAATATTGATTTTAATTTCAAATCTTTACTAAGTCACAGAAAACGAACAGATAGTTGAAAATTGAAAATTCAAACGCTAACATTTTTTAAAAAAAATTGTCTACATACTTATGGAATTAAAAACATATGTTTCCATTTGAAAAAACGAGTTTCGTAGTCTTATAACGTATAAGGGTTGAAGATAAAAAAATTCTAAATATTAAAAAATGTAGTAAAATATGTACCTAAAAGTTTAGAAAAAAAAAAATTCTCAAAATATTCATACTTTCCGAGAAAATGAGTGTCTTACGTTAGTTGGATCACCCTGTATGTATTATCGTATAATTTATTATTTATATTCGTAGTTCTCGACTACAGTGCTCAGTTTTTATTTAATGTTGATAATTTTTTTCCCAGTACTCTCGAAATAATTACCAGTGCTATATAAAACGTGTTTATAAGAATTTTTACGATAATAATTTCAAGATTAACATTGACCAAAATCCCAACAAAAAAAATGGTCGAAAGTGCAGGTGTTTATTTGAGCAGAATGGTTATAAATTATATTTTACAAATATATATACACGTCAGGCGAGTCCTGTATCAGTAACTACATATAGGGTAAAGAGTAAAGACTATAAAAGTAAAATAGTAAATAGTAATACAAGTCCAATAAACAATGAGCCGTTTCCAAAAAGTTATTTGTATTTTCAATCAAAATAAAATAACAAAACCTTGTAATAAACATTTTAAACATAATGTGGGCTCTCCGTAGTCCGTAGACCGTATGTGGCCAAAACGATAGTTAAGCCTCAAAAAAGAACAATATGTTTATAAATAGTTTCAACCGATAATGAAATGTCCCGTCATCGATTATCGAGTTTGATAAACTCGTATTTACTTTTTATACCTATTTATACTATTACTGTTGCCTACATGAAAGATGACATAAACAGAGTACATGAAAATAATAAATGACAAATGAACAGAGTAGCCATAAATCACGAAATCTAATATAAGGAAAATTTGCTCTTTGACGTAACTGTCCATTTCTTAGTACCTACGTCTTATTGGTTATTAAATTATTCTGTAATCTGTGAAAATACTTTGTTTCACTCATACATTTTCGTAAAACATTTTATGAAGGTTAAAATTTAATTTATCTATTTTTCATCTAGATAAAATTGTATTTATCTTTATCTTTTAGCTAAATAAATGTTAAATGAATAATTTAATATCTTATCTAGATGATATATTACTCAATTATCCGTTATCTTATCTAGATAACTTTATAGTTATCTTTTCCCAACACTGGTTATATTGTCATTTAAAAATCTAAAGTTGATATGATTCTGACGCTTAAAAAATGTTTGCAAAATAGGCCATAGTGGCCTATATCAAAGTGGCCAAACCAATAAGTATGTAAGCAATTTAAAAAAGGCTAATCTCTTTGAAGATATTCACTGAATCATAGTTAATCAATCGGCCAGTATTAAGGACTTTAGTTATTGACATTTAGTTTTCCTGCCGTTTCCGTAGTCGATAGTATAGTAAGATATAGTGTATAGCAAGACAGTATTTTTTTTCTTATGATTATTATCATTCTCGCTGGTCCTCACCGTATTATGGTAATTTTTTTTTTTGTTTCAGGTTTTTGGACGCTGCGCGTTGAGCGATTCCAATGAAAGTGGTGCAAATGGCGACACGTGCCAGCCTCATGATAAAATAAATGCGATACACCCTCAGGTTCTGTTGGCGTTCATGTCATATGAAAAAGATACGGTCGAATTAAAGGGAAGTCTCATGAAATTTTGGAATATAGCCGCTCGTGGGCGCGTTTCCTCTGATCAAGCTAACCAGGCATTGGGCTATGATGACCAATTCAACCAACAGTTTGACACATTTTATAAGGACGAAGCCAAGTTTGTAGCCATCCAACCCAAGTTGATAAGTTTACAAAACACGTTGTTCCCCATCCGTCAAATCACCAAACTAAGTTGTGATGACGATTATGCTTTCCAACTCAATGACAATGACGATGACAACGACGATGACGACGACGATGACGACGACGACGATTAGCAGACAGTTGACGATTGTCCATCGACATATTTTAACCACAGAAATTGTCACAAATAACACTAATAATTTGTCATTTGTGAAAATAAAATATGTTCAATATTTCGGTCTTTGATGTGATTTGTTTGTTTTTTCTTTTTACTACACCCGGGTTGTTCTTTTTGGTTTGGATTTGTCCTAGACATCAATTTGGATTTCAGTAAGATAATACCTACAATACTTGTTGATAACTTTCAGTCCTAATTGACCTAATTTATGTTATACACCTACTACATCTAATATTTTAAGGTTTTGTGTATCATTATTTCCACTTAAAAACAACATCTGAATAAACACTTATATGTAGCGACCCCGATTTCCGTGTTTAAAAAAACAATTTTAGGCAATGTTGTTCGCCATTGTTCACTGCGTATGGTACTCTAGAAAATTACAAAACCTACAGAGCTGTAAAAATCCATTTTATCATTATTATGCGGCCGTTGTAATTAAAAAAGAAGTTAAAAAAAAATTCAAAAATGTCTGGTAATATAAAATTTGATAAAATAATTTGATTTAGTTGTAGATTTTGATTTTTTCAATAAATAACATGAAAAGTTTTAAAACAATTTTATACAAATTATACTATTACAATACTTCTGGCTTCTGGCAGGCAATGGAATATTACCAATTAATTTTTTGAGAGGAGAAAAACATTTAATATTAAGAAAGGTTAAAAAACATTTAATACAAATTTGACTACTTAAAAAACATTGAGTTAGGGCTGTTATTTAAAAAACTGCGTGTGTCATGGGACACACTATTGATGTGAAACTTAGATCTTATATTATTCATTGACACAGCTTTTCAATAATTGTATTATAGACTAATATTGAAGAAAGTGAAAATAAAAGCAAAACTAATATTTAGATATTTGTAAATAAAATAATTATTTTATTTCTCTAATAGTAACACAATTTGTTTTATAAGGAATAAAAGTCACAATTAGCCTATGATCACTAAAATATAACACAAACATGAAAAAAAAGATATTTCATCTTCTACCATTAATGTCTAAATATTGCCTTGAATAAAAATGCACTATATTTTAATAGGTCAACAGTGAAGTTTACTAATATTTAAAAAAAAATTATATATATATATATATATGTATTCAAAAATAATTAAGTATAATTACAATATTGACTGATATAATAAATTACTCGCTAAGCTTATGCATAAAGTAGGCCAAAAACCAAAAAATTAATTATAAATGTATTTATTTTTAACAGAGTGCGGTTACGCCTAAATAATAAATTATGCAAATTACTGTACAATGTATATAGCAGGTACAGTACTATAAATATGGAATAACGCGAAAAAATTATTTATAATTTGATCTGAGTAAAACAAAGTTAACTGTGACGCTATTGACAGATCTGTTACAATGAAGACTTTCGCAATCATTTTTATCGCTATGGTAAGTATTATACTTATTTTATAATGTTCTTTAATAGGTAGTTTGCAAAAAATAAGAGCTATTATACTACACACTTGTTTTTATAGATTAAATATCAGTATTATATTTAAACAATTAGGTAAAAAAAAAATTTTAAAAATACAACAGATAAGTCTATATGGGAAATAATTATTTTTCATTAGACTATTTAGCGGTTGTTTCCAACGTTTTTATTAATTCTCTAGTTAACATATTCTCTAATATAAAATTTAAAAAAAAATCCTTCTTAATTAATCTCAGTTTATTTTTTGAAATTTAGAAACTGTAATTTGGCCACTAAATATGTTCAATACAACTCTAAAACTAATAAAAATTTCCAAAACTCATTTCACTACGAAAAACCTTCAAATTTGTTATAATCTACCGAAATTTAAAAATATTCAAAACCATTTCAAATATTTGGTATACTTACTTGGAGCTCACTAGTATATAATTATTATAATTTTTACATACCAAATAGTAATAACAAAAACATATTATACTATTGGCTAAAATAAAATTCTTGAAAATCCATATTTTTATTTTGTCGTTACTTTATTAGACTATTATTATAGCATTTGTTTCCAATGTTTTTTACTACTTATTTTTACTATAATAAATTTAATTTATGAAGATATTTCCAAAATATTAGGTCATTTTACATTCAATTTTTTTGGTCTACTACAGACAAGGATTATCAAAATCCTAAATAAAAAAATACAACTGAAGAAATTATTATTTTTTATTAGACCATTTAGAATCTGTTTCTAACAGCTCAGTTAAAATAATTCTTTATATACAATTTGAACAAAATTCCATCTAAGTTTTATTTTTAAATTTAGAAAATGTAATTTAGCCACTAAATATGTTCACCATAACTCAAAATTCTAAAAATGAACAAATTCGTTACAAAATCTAGTAAAACAACCATCAATTTATATATTTTGCATTTTAAAATAACAATTTATTTATAAAAAATTTAGTACGTTCATACTGAAGGAATACTCGTGTATTCTTTTATACCACCAATAAATAAAGGGGTTATATTGTCATTTGAAAATCTTAAGTTGATATGATTCTAACGCTTAAAAAATGTTTGAAAAATATATAAAAGTGGCCAAACCAATAAAAGTAATTAAAGTATAAAAGTAATTTAAAAAAGGCTAATCTCTCAATCTCTTTGAACTTATTCACTGAATCATAGTTAATCAATATTATAAGGACTTTAGTTATTGACATTTAGTTTTCCTGCCGTTTCTGTAGTCGATAGTATAGTAAGATATAGTGTATAGCAAGACAGTATTTTTTTTCTTATAATTATTATCATTCTCGCTGGTCCTCACCGTATTATGGTAATTTTTTTTTTGTTTCAGGTTTTTGGACGCTGCGCGTTGAGCGATTCCAATGAAAGTGGTGCAAAAGGCGACAAGTGCCAGCCTCATGATAAAATAAATTCGATACACCCTCAGACTCTGTTGGCGTTCATGTCATATGAAAAAGATACGGACGAGTTAAAGGGAAGTCTCTCGAAATTTTGGAATATAGCCGCTCAAGGGCGCGTTTCCTCTGATCAAGCTGACCAGGCATTGGATTTGGATGACCAATTCAACCAACAGTTTGACACATTTTATAAGGACGAAGCCAAGTTTGTAGCCATCCAACCCAAGTTGATAAGTTTACAAAACACGTTGTTCCCCATCCGTCAAATCACCAAACTAAGTTGTGATGACGATTATGCTTTCCAACTCACAGTAGTGTCTGACGAAGACGATGATTAGCAGACAGTTAACGATTGTCCATCGACATATTTTAACCACAGAAATTGTCACAAATAACACTAATAATTTGTCATTTGTGAAAATAAAATATGTTCAATATTTCGGTCTTTGATGTGATTTGTTTGTTTTTTCTTTTTACTACACCCGGGTTGTTCTTTTTGGTTTGGATTTGTCCAAGACATCAATTTGGATTTCAGTAAGACAATACCTACAATACTTGTTGATAACTTTCAATCCTAATTGACCTAATTTATGTTATACACCTATCTAAAGACTGGTTAATACACCAAACCGCGATTGACACAAACAACAACAAACTTATATCTACCTATGTTTTTTTTATATAACCTTTCTCGAGCACTATATTTTATTCGTGTAAACAGTGGAAAATTTAAACACACAAACGATTTTCTAAAATGAAACAATTCTTTTTTTCGAGTCGACACCTAAGTAAGAACTATATAAACAATACTTTAACAATAATTTCTAAATTTTTGTTTAATTTTGGATACTTTATCATTATTTTAACACACGTCCCGATGTGCTAAACTATGTACAAAATACTCATTTTTTTAATCCTAGATTCCTAAATTGAAAAAAATCCTAGTTGTACTCATCCCGCCTTTGAATTAAAACGAAAAGAATTGTTTTAGGGGTCCGATTTCTATAAAAAAAAAGTATTATCAATTTTATAAATACCCATCAAAATATTCAAGATGACTGCTACAATTATTAGTTTTGAATATTATTTCAAGAGGAAATGAGTGTCTTTTCCCCAATGAATCACTGCATCACTCTGTATCTATAATTTCATGTCTGTGTTAGAAAAGCGCTCTTTGTTGTGTGTATTTTTATTTAACGCAAATAATATAACGCCAAACGGGTTTGTGTCGAGGGTACACCTGAGTTGTTATAAGGTGTTGGTTTTACAACGATATTTTATTATTTTGTTTTTCTTCGTCGATGCGAAAAAAGTAATCAAAAGGAAACGAATACAGCCAAATGTCAGGCGTACAAATAAGACTGAAAACGCAAAGTAATTTTTTTAAACGGATAAAATAGTATTCTTCCAAGATGCCAATAAATCAAATATTTTAGGGTTTTGTGTATCGTTATTTACACTTAAAAACAACATCTGAATAAACACTTATATGCAGCGACCCCGATTTCCGTGTTTAAAAAAACAATTTTAGGCAATGTGGTGCTCTAGAAAATTACAAAACCTACAAAGCTGTAAAAATCCCTTTTATCATTATTATGCGGCAGTTGTACTTAGAATAGAAGTTTAAAAAAAATTCAAAAATGTCTAGTAATATTTGATAAAGTAATTTGATTTAGTAGTAGATTTGGATATTTTCAATAAATAACATGAAAAGTTTTAAAAGAATTTTATAAAAATTGAAACAAATTATACTATTTACAATACTTCTGGCTTTTGGCAGGCAATGGAATATTGCCAATTAATGTTTTGATAGGGGGAAAAACATTTAACATTAAGAAATGTTAAAAAATATTTAATACAAATTTGACTACTTAAAAAACATTGAGTTAGGGCCGTTATTTAAAAAACTGTGTGTGTCATGGGACACACTATTGATGTGAAGCTTAGATCTTATGTTATTCATTGACACAGCTTTTCAATAATTGTATTTTAGACTAATATTGAAGAAAGTGAAAATAAAAGCAAAACTAATATTTAGATATTTGTAAATAAAATAATTATTTTTTTTTTCTAATAGAAACACAATTTGTTTCATAAGGAATAAAAGTCACAATTAGCCTATGGTCACTAAAATATGACACAAACGTTTTAGATACAATGTGCTCAGGGTATTTTAAAAGTTGTTCTTCAAAATATATATGTATTATTATAATAAAGTCATTCGCACATTTCTAATATAATATTATGTAAAATGTATCACAATACTATTTTATTGTTATTTCGAATTTAATGATATTTAAAAATGAATTAATCCTTTTATCTTATTAATCCTATTAATCCAGGTTAGGTGTAAATAAATAAAAAATTATTTTTCAATTCAAAATGCTAGTTGTATAATTTGATAGCCTGTCCTTTCGTGTTTAATCCAAATGCAACCGAGCAAAATAAATGTTTTCTGTATTTTGTCTAATTTTTTCACCAAGCCTATTTGAATTGCATTCCAGATTATGGACACAAATTTAAGTATAGATTCAAGTTTATGTCAAATTAGATCCGAATATTTTTTTGTATTAAAAAAAAATACAAAACACAAGGAAAATACTTTTTGATCGTAGTAAATTTGTAGGTTGCCACGTCCGAGTAAGCCAACGATCAACAGGTGCTAGAAAATAAATAACCTCTTTTGTTAATTACGACTGTTGGGTAACACCGTTAACAAACTATTGTAGACACACCGTCACTTCTAATCGTATCCACCCTAATATAATACAATTATAATTTGAAGCGCATTATTGTCACTGCAATGCTTCGTTACAATTATTTATAATCGGACAAACCAGATTTCTTTTTAAATACCAATAGATGTAATTTGTGATTTTTTATTTCGATTTCACAGCACCACCTAAATAAATATTCATATGCAGTATGACTCAGATATACGTATTAAAAAAAATAATTATAACCAACGTTCGCCGTAGATAACCACGTATGGTATTTTACATTTGTAATTATCCAATAAGAAAATAATACGTGTCTTTTTTCTTGTGCTCGACTTTTAGCAATCATCCGTATACGTTTTTCTGGAATTGATTTTAGTCAATCCCGTACTTTGTCAGCGTCGCAAACAACGTGTAACAATATGAAAGTCCCACGTTTTATTTTGTGTTTTTTAACGCTTTACGTGCATAATGTAACAGCAGAAACAGATCCGTCGTTACGCGTCGACTCTATGAATTTCATTTTATCTCAGCCCGGTTGGCCGGACCTGGCGTATCACGGTGGTTTTGGGATAATCGTGCGACAGATGGAAGAGACCGCGGAAAAACGTTTTGTCTTGTCTGATTTACTGGCATCCGACCGGCATGGCGTAATAGTCACACACGATAACGTGCAGTGTAAAACTCGCCAAGCACATCAGTTTTTGAGCTGCCAGTGTGCCAATGATCTAAAAAAGTGTTACGATTTCACCGTTGGCGTGATCCAGCAGTGTAAGAAAATTGACGATCCCTCCGAATCGTTGAAATGTGTTGGTGTCATAATAGATACGATGAGTAAAATTGATGAGCTGGCGATGCGCATGCAAAGTACGCTTGCGTGTATTTACCAGCTGTCCCCGAAAGCGTTCGACCAGGACGTGTCCGACGCCTTGAATCATTTCAAGGGTTATTGCGATACCTTGGATTTTGACAGTGAATCTCTCGACGTAGAATACCACGAAGAAATAATTGACAATATCGAATACAATATGGAAATCGAGATACATCTCTTGCGCCAATTTTATAATAATTATTGCGGACCAATTTTGGACGAAGAAGAACTTGGACATTCCGAAGCTACGGAATATGTACTAGGGTTAGAGGAAGAATATCCGCCACTCGAATTATCGTACGAAGTGAAAGAACTGGTGAGCTCAATCGTCGACGAAATTCTAAACAAGTTCAACCAGCTCTCACTCGGCTTGGAGTATGATTCGAGTTCAAATAGAACACGTATAAAGTTTAACCTGGAATGAATTTCAACTAAACGAGTTCATGTTATATAACGAAATTTCTGTTCAGCAAAATTGAAAATCCATTTGTTACAGTAATAACTGAAATAAACGTTTTAAAAATCAAAAATGTCTACTTGTTTTTTATGTAATAATGTTATTTATTAGTCGACTTTGATTTTTTTATTAAATAACAAAAAAAAAATATTTTATACTAACTTGAAATTAATCTGACTACTTAAAAAACAGTCGGTTAGCTCCGTTATTTAAAAAAACTGTGGGTGTCACGGGACACACTATTGATGTGAAACCTAGATCTTATGTTGTACTTTGACACAGCTTCTTATTGATTGGTCTATGGGAAAATAACGAAGAAAGTGAAAATGAAAGCAAATATTTAGATATTTGTCGATAAAATATTTATTTTATTTCTCTAATACAGGGTGGGGTGTGTTTTCAGCTCGCTCCCCAGAACTTAGCGTTTGTGATTTTTTCTCGTGAGGGTTCCTTAAAGCAAGAGTTTACCCAAACAAGCCCCGCACACTGGACGAACTGAAAGAGGCCATAAGCCAAGAAATCGCCAACCTGTCTCCTGTCTCCTTGTTCAATGAAGGACATCATTTAAAGGGCGTTAGCTTCAGATCTTAAACTGATGAAATCGGTTGTTCTGATGTTATTTTCATTAATTTACATTAATACCCTTCTGTAATAAGCAATAAAACAATTTGTACCACTTTTAGTTTTTATTTTAAAACCATCAGTCCTTTTTGCCGCACCCTGTATTGTCATAATATGCATGGTAAGGAATAAAAGTGACAATATGCCTACGATAACTAAATTATGTCAAAAACGTTTTAAATACATTATTATCAAGGTATCTTAAAAGAAGTTTAAAAAAATATTTTGATAGCAACTTTTGAAACTTAAATGGTAACGTATATATTTTATTAACTTTTTAAATTGAGAATAATGTATTAAAAATGTTAACTGGTCAATAACCAGTTTTAGATAACTATTTTTGAAGTTATTGAAGTTTCATGTTTAGGGTAGGAGGGTGAGTGGAGTGTAGTATTATTTTTGTCTGCGCGCATTTCCCAACCGAACTTCCCCTCCCACCTTAACTTTTAAACTTTAAAAATAGTTATCCTAAACTGGTCATCCACTAGTCAACATTTTAACTATATTTTTCGCAATTTAAAAAGTTAATAAAATATATACATTACCAAGTTTCAAAAGTTGCTATCAAAAAACTAAGATAGGAGAAAGAAAAAACCCCAAAAAAATTGTGAAAAATTGAGATCACATTGTATAACAACAATATTAAAAAAAAAAAATTTAATTTCTCATTAAACCCTATGAGATATAGAGTGGTTCACGGTAAGTGGATCACCCTGTATTTAAAAATTAATTAATCCTTTTATCTTTCAGATAATAAAAAGACATACGACTTTGAAATT